TACTTTATAGACGTAGCTAGAAATGTCTCAACCTACCTAACTGTATAGAGCTGTTTTCAAGTGAAACCAAGTATAAAAGTATATAGGTATAGTAAGAATACTTATAAAAAAAATATATAAAGTATACAAGTATAAAACAAAGTACGAAAGTAAGGTTTCCTTATGAGGTTTGATTCCAACTGCTTCTAAGCTACAGCTAAGCCCACAGAAGTGTATTAATTCTGTTACTGTCCTTAGAAAGTAAAAAAAAAAAATGTTGAATTGACAAGTGTGTCTATAAAACATGTACCACAGTCTCTAGTCTATCAACTGTATGATTATCCGTAGTAAGTCTGGGTATAAACAGATGTTCTGACTTGAAAAGCACTTATCTTTACAACTCAAAAATCCCTACGGAAGAAGTTTAATCTAGTTGAATTAAAGCTTTGATTCTTAGCATCGGTTTAGTAGTTGGCCAGTTTTACTTCTTAACAGCAAAAATAATCTTCTATGGACATGCTAAAAATTCTTAGTAACAACAGCCGCATACATGAACTACTGATTTGCCCATAATTTCAATACTTCAGTGAAAACCCACTATTTCAAAATAGAGGAAAACACAAACACACATGCAAAATCCTCAACTAAAAGGCTAAAATAGAAAGCCTACTTTATTTAATATGTACAAAAGTCATCCAATTAGCAGCATTAATAGAGAAAAAAATAAATAAATCTCCACAGCCCAAAACACTCTGTTCCGTAGCATTTTACTATAGTAGTACTAAAAATAGTGTATATATATTTAAAATATATATGATTAAAATTATTTGGGGTTATGCAATAGATATATTTTATATATATTGGGTTTAATATTTATTCAAGTATTTATTGTCTATCTAATGTAGCATGGAAACTATGGAAAAAAAGAAACTAGCCTCCAAAACCTGAAAAGCTATCTTGGGAAAACATCTTCTTGTTCTCCACTCTTCAACATCTGCATCACATTCCAAAAGCCTGTGGTAGAGACAAAATGTGCTAAACACTATGCCTGGCTGATAAGAATAAAGTCAGGGTAGATCATTTTCTCTTACCACAGTTCATATTTATCAGTCTGTTAATTAATCAGCTGAGGGTCTTCCAAGCACTCTAACATGCAAGAAAAATTCCCATAGGGATAGTACTGTCTTTATTTTCTGATTTCTGCAAAGGGAACCAATTACTTACTACCTGGAATAGAGGATACCTTTGGACTTAATTGAAATTATCAACATAGAAGTTGTATTAGAAGGTGGGATATGCTAGAGTACTTTTTCAGTATCCTTTTGTAATTTAATAATTGCTTGAAACATGTATTTAATAAATATTTTTTAATAAACAGTACTTACAAGGTCTTTAAAACAGTGGCCAGGTGCTCTTAGCAAGACTGCTGATTATTACGGGCTTTTATTTTTAATTCTAGAAAAAGCATGAAAAATGTATCAACTGACAAATCTGCCTTTTGTCAAGATTTGTTGACACACAATTAGCAATGGTACACTGCAAGGAATTCAAGGTTACTCTAGATAACAACCAAACATAAGCAAACCCAGGGTCTCTACTGGACTAAGAATCCAGAACTCAGTAACCATATTTAAATAATACCAAGAAGAACTCACACAAAACCAGTTAATCCTAATGGGAGCATGCAGCAGCTGTATTCTTTAGATTCAACCAATTAAAAAAAAACTGAAGTCTTGATCATGGAGCGAACTCCAGATTCTGCTTTTCAGCCACAGACACCTGGCTGGCAGAGGGCACTGGGAGAAAAGGAAGCAGGCCAGTGCCAGCAAAAGACTTCCACTGCCTGAACAGCAAAGGACCTCTCGTGTCCAGGGAGTAGAACAGCAAAGACTACTTTTCTTCAGAACAAAAGATCAACCCACTACATACACAAAAGCAAAGGCAATCACTTGGCTCAATTTCTACACCTGATTCCTGAGCAACGCCATTAGAAGCATTACTGGAAAACCACCTACACGTTAAGACTTGGAGGAACACCTACAGAATATTGCTTGTCTGGGTAACATGAGGGACAAATAAGGTGGGTTTTTTTGATTTATTGGAAAGCTTTAGAAAAGCAATCATCTTCACCTTTCCTTGCTCTAGTCACGGTGCTTCCAGGTCAGATACCGTGAAGTGAGCTTCCGCTCCTGCTCAGGTCTGGAAGGGGAAGAGTAAGGCTTTCCTGAGGCACTACTAAGCTGTATGTGCAGAGCTGTATCTGCTTATTACATTTCAAGAACAGTCCAAATAAGCTAAAACTACAATTTTGAGTTTCTACCCCTAAATAAAGAGTCCACATGCTTCTGAAGCAGAGGTGATCCTGATATTTTTTTCTACCGTACATGCAGAAATCTCCAAGTCACTGGAAGATTCAGGCCAACCATCTCACTCTCAGTCCATTTTCAATCTTATTGACTGTGGAACATACAGTAGAAGTCATTAAGCTACATTTCACAGTTTACAGTTTTAATGGGTTTGCAACATTAGATGCACAACACATTTTCAAGCATCAAAAACTAGGCTTTGCTATCTAACATTTCATAAAGATAATAAAAGTTAATGAGCGCTCATGATCTACGATCTGACAAGACATCTGTTCTGTTCCTTCCGAGATAAAACACTCGCCCTGCCTTGTTCTGGCACAGTGGGAGAGAACAAATATAAACCAATTAATCATTCTAAACTGTAAGCTATATTAAGTTACAGTTTCTCAACAGGCTTTTCATACCCCATTGCTAATAGGGCACAGGTGTCCAAAAAAACAGTCTTTCAATGCAACAATTAAATCCTGCTAACTTCACATGGTCAACTGCAACAGACAACACTGTTCAGTGTTTCAGCAGTAAAAAAAACCCACCTGTTCAAAATAAGCAATAAGGTTGCTGTTATATCACAAGTCCAGTATCAAGAGCTCTATCTCCATTTTCTACATATTTTCATCATGCTTTTTTATTACAGGAGTATTTTAACAAAATCTCATTTTGACCTATCAAGGGAGTACTTGGCATACATATAACAAGAAATATTACAAAATACTTTATATAGGACACGACATCAGTGTGGGGACGAAGGAATAATCTGCTTCTGAACCATTTGCCAGGCTGTAACAGGGAGATCTGTCATGGGGAGCTGATGAGAACCTTAAAACTCTGTTGCATTCCAACACCAACTGCCAAGCATTTTAGGAACACTGTTTGAGACCAAACTCAGCTTAGAACCATAGAAACATCAAGGTTGGAAAGTACCTCAAGATCATCAAGTCCAACCTACAGCCCTACACCACCCTAACACTAAACCATCTCCTGAAGTGCCACATCCAGCTGGTTTTTAAACATGTCCAGGGATGGTGACTTCCCTCGGCAACCCATTACAATGCTTCACCATCCTTTCAGTGAAGAAGCTGATACCTATGTCACCTACAACATAATACAAAAGTGTACAAGGAGGAAAAACTAAATCAGCCTACGGCATGGCGTGTTTTGGATATTATACAGGAATACATGTTTTCATTTCCTGCAGATCACTGTATCTTACCGTGAAAAAAAAAACCAACATGTGAAATAAGAAAAAAAAAAAGTATCACAAAATCACAGCTTATGTAGTTGATAATGAACAACGATATTTACAGTAAAGCCCTTGGATAAAGCTAAAATCCCAGCTTACATAAAGAAAACAGAAATACTAATTCCTAACAAATAACTAGTTGGTTCAAAACACTGCCCTGCAACCAATCTACCTTGCAGAGGCACACAAAGAAATAAGCTCTATAGCCAGGGAACCAAGCACTGCCCAGCTGTACAGAAAAGCCAAGTACTTCTGCTAACGATAACTGGGATTTAATGCTAAAAATCCCCACGGCCTCAAACATCCAACCTGTCTAAACAGCCTAAGCTTCCCAGAGCAGCACCTCACCACCAACTAAAGCAATAGCCCAACCAGCTTTCAGCAGCCTGCCCTGCTAGAAGAGCTAAATAAAAGCATTTTTCTCAAGTTACAGTCACAAACACCATGTAAGAATTTAAACCAATGTTTATGCATACATGTGCACAAACAGAACTGAAAGGGAAACCGAATAAGCAAGTCTAGCTATAAAGCTTAGCCAAAGGAAAATTACAGTGGTAACACTGAATCAGAGGCTCCACAGATTTCTCTCGTACCTCCAGAGAATTTATGTGCGCTTTGGATTCAAACAAACAAGTAAAATCTGAAAAACCAAGTAAGCAGCCTAGGCAGATCAGCTGGTGAACTCCAGCTACACACATATCAGTACTTAGTGTAGAAAAGCATGAATGGATACGTAGCAGTTTGTGCTGAGGACCTGAACCTTACAATTTGCATGGCTGGCTATGCCTGAAGTAATTTAACCAACTCTTCACATCAGTTAGGTCTTGCAGACACAATTAGATGGTCACCATTAGCATTTGGTACGTTTTTGGATTGTGTTCTTCTGTTTAGTTTCACCTGGAGCAATCCAGTTTGCATTCCCTGAAGCAAAAGCATGACAAGCAGGGATGACCAGATTAATAAAAACAAACAAACAAAAAAAAAACCCCAAAACCAAATCACAAAAAAACCCCAGAACACTCTGAGCCTGAACCAAAACAAAAATGTAGATCTACCCTAGAGTCTCTAAAAAGCAGTTATGCAAATGCATAACAGTCTCAACATGTGCAGCTACTTATCATCAAAAACACATGCTGATGAGCTATTGCCATGTGTTTTTACAAATTGGGTAATATATTCTAATTTTATATAAATTTTGACACGAGATTCTAATTATTGTAGTCTTGCCAGTTAACCCCAACAAGTTCAACTTCCTTCCTCGTGTCCTTGCTTAAGTCCATTCATACACTTGGGCAATGCCTCCTCAAATGCTGCTTCCATGATAACTGAAATTACAGTGAAACTAATAAAATCCTGAGGGGGTGTGAGGAAATAATAAACCGCCTCCAACAACACACAAACTTGTGACAATCAGATTCTGGTAAAAATACTAAAATTTAATAATACCTTTTGAACATACAATTATGTCAAGGAAAGAATAAAGGCATTCAAACAAATGGATATAGATCTTAAATAATATTTACAAATTCTAAACTGCAGGTTGACTATAAAGTCACAAATACTGTAAATATTTAGTAGAATATAGTGTAAATTCTAATATAAATCAGATATTAACTTCATCTGTTATTTTTTTCCAATAACAGTCTAATCTTTACAGACTATATACATAATACTAAAAAGTTATAAAATTTTATTTCTGTTACTATGCAAAGAAATGGAAAATACATCAGATCTGTCTTACTGTACAATATCCAAATTGAACTTTCCGTAGTGTTCTTTGCAAAAATAAACGGCACTTCCACATGCAGCAAGTCTGCCCATCAGCAGTATGCCATCTGTAAGTAAACTAAAATGCCAATGTCATTCAACCATACAGTCAAACATCAAAAGTAAACTATGGGAAGAGACTCTGACGCTTTCTCTTTCAGACCGAAGGAATAATGAAAAGCATGTAGACTGATTTCCATATAGATCTGTCATTTTAAAAAATGAAGACACAGCACACCAACAAGTCTGTCATGACAGTATCAAAGCTACTTTGACGGTGTATCACAGAGGAGAAGTTCGTGATCTCATATGGAATTCTGAAGCCCAGCCCTGCCAACGGGCTGCAGCATCTAAGTTGCTGCTCTACTGACAGTTTCCAGAATTACTTCTGCCACTCGGAACTGCGCATGGGTAGTCAGAGGGATTTTGTAGACTTCGTTATGCCATTGTGTAACCATAACTTCCGCAGTGCAATGCCACAAGAAGCCTGTCCTTGAGGATTTCTTTACTTGGGTATTCAGGTAACTTGAGCATGTTGATACTGAAAAGATCAGAACAAAACCACGTCACAGCTCAGCAAGGAACTCAACAGAACAGTTCTCTGATCGAAAACCCTGAAGGTGCCACATTTACGGAAGAAAACAAACCTGTATTGTGTTACAGTACCACTGAGTATGTGAATACAGTACAGGAAATTAAGGGCTTTTTCACTCCAGTCAAATTGTAATACGGTACTTTAATTTGAATATTCCCTTATTGATCCAACTGCCTGTAGCTAAGCAAAGTGAAGTGGTAAACAACAAACAAACATTACATAACATCATCTGTGTTAAAAACCATCACTTTCATGTCGGATAGTGAACATTCTACAAGCTGTCTAAATTGGGGGGCAGGCTTTCCGTGAAACTATTAAAAATAACTGCACTTTTGACTGCAACTGATATTTCAATGAGACTAGTTAACATACCACGTGCTCGATGTTGGTAAAAGATTTGCAGTATACGGCACAGCAGCAATTGTAAAATTTTGCAATCCACTGCCACCCATTATGTGGGCAAAGCCACCATGAGGCACCCTAGAACTGAGAAAATTAACAGAAATTAGACCATTGTTTTAAGCCAAAAAATAAAATCTTTACACTGCAAATATCTTTCTGCTACATGGGATCAGTTACTAATACTTTTACCAAGTTTCTCCCTTTCTTACCCATATCAAAATTCTCATTGTCTAAATGCTTTTAATTACAATATGGAATAATGCATTTGTCTATTTATATTAAGCATCAAGTAGTTTGAAAGATACATAAGAGAATTCTGTTTGCCAAGAGGACTCACTTCTACAACCAGTTTTTATAACAGAACACTATCTCAATTTAGGCAACCATCTATGGTTATTTTTATTTACATATTTACAAGAAATACTGCATCATAAAAATGTTTATTCTCTGATTACTGTCCCTTGGACAACTGACCAGTGTCCCTAACATGTTTTTTTATTTACTCATTCAGACCACATATTTCAAGGAACCCATAACACCATTACATCAGTCACATTATCACCCAATGACAACCTATGCCAAAATCAGAACACACTGAAAAAATCACTAGCATGTTCAGGAATGCAGTCTCACTTGAATGATATTATTGATTTATTTTTTCCTTATACTAGTACATTATTCAAGGATTACTCAAGCTTCAAATGGATAACAGCCCTGGAGTCTTCAAAGTGCCTCCCTAAAATTTTAAACTAACAGAGACAAATAGAATAAAATTCAGATATTTTAATATCATCAGCTTAAGCTGGTATCCATTACAAGGTCCCATGTTGTTACCACAGCCCTCACAACAATGAATAAATGAATTATAATGACAGGATAATGACTAACAGAAGTTGAACGTGATCCAGCAACCCATCGCAACAGGGAGGCTGGATTAAAATGATCTCTAAGGTCCCTTCCAGCCTAGGCCGTTCTATGATTCTGTGATCCTTGTGTCAAAGGCGACCAGCAGCCTCTTGGCCTGCATCAGGAGGAAGGTCCCCAGCAGGCTGACGGAGGCGGTCCTTTCTCTGCACTTGGAGAGGAACACCTGGAGTCCAGATCCAAGCTCCCCACGACAGAGGGGAGAGGGACATACTGCAGCACGTTGAGCAAAGGGGCTCAAAGACGGTTTGGGATTGGAGCACCCAACACAAGAGGACTGTTCGCCCTGGGGAAGACAAGGCTCAGAGGAACCTGATCAATGACTGTAAATGCCTGAAGGAAGGAGTAAGAAGGGGCACCCTGTGGTGCCCGGTGACAGGACAGGAGACAGTGGGCACAACCTGAAATCCAGGAAATATCTATTTAAATATGAGAAAAACTTTTTTTACTGTGAGGTAGTCAAACAGTGGAACAAGTTGCCCAGAGAAGAGAAGGAGTCAGCACCCTTGGAGACAGTCAAACCCGTCTGGACAAAATCTCGAGCATCCTGCTCTACCTGAGCACGGGGTTGGACCAGATGATCTCCAGAGGTCCCTTCCAACCTCAGCTATTCTGCAATTTTGTAGCAAGCAAAGAAAGAATCTGATAGAACAAAATAAACCTTACGTAAAATATGTTAACAGTCGCTGGAATTTTGCATTACAGATAAATGCTCCCATATTCACAAAACCAAAATGACTGTAAAAACAGCGCTAATGGAAAAAAAGAATGAAGCAGTATTTCCACTCACAGTAGAACTACTTGGCAAAAATGCAGAAGAGTAAGGGTTGCTGCTGCCAAATGTTAAGGGGCTAGCACAGAACTCTTACTAATACTATTTAAACATACCTTTAAGAGCTAGCTATAGTATCCAACACGTAAATCTGTATCACCCAGCCTAATGGCAACAACATAGGGGTTATAGTTCTACTGCTGTATAAGGCAACCACCAGTACGGAAGAAAGTACTGACTATTTGAAGAACACTATTTCTGGCATACAGATGGAATTGTGCTCACAGCCACAGTTTGGAACAGTTGTAAGGATTTTACAGCAATAATCTTAGACCATGGTTTTGGCTCACATTTCTAATACAGGGTTGCCTCCTCTGCAGTGACTTTCCTCCCTCCCCTTCTGATGAACCAAGGAGAACTCCACATTCAAACCAGCAACAAAACACTGACTTAACTGTTGAAAATTTCTCATTCAGTCTATTAAAATGTTTCTCATACAACAGGTCAAAATTGTATAGTATAATCCAGGCTTTGAACATTTAAAAGTAACAGATAGCTGCCAATTTATGCCTCCAAGGATGAGTTTTCCTTGCAAGCAAAACACTGCCAATATAGTAAAGAAAGCCTTCCAAATATGTGCAAACGAGAACAAAGTATCTTACCTTTACTGCTGCATGTACAAACAGCCTTCAGCAAGAGCAACAACACAATTTCATAGCTTTGGAAACTTCAACACTATTAAAATGTTTAAGTTTATATCTGAATCCTAAGTTTTCTACCTATTTTTCCACTTAGAGATTTTGCATGACTTTACTTGAATTAAAACAGCATAGAAGAGATACTTTAAGCCAGTTTCCTTATGTTTTGTTTTACTTTCTAAAAGTAGCCATACATAACTACCACATTTATCAAATACACTGAATTTCCCTTAAAACAGAGTACAGCTTATTGCTCAACAGAAGCTAGATCCCTAAGAAGTTAAAGAGCAATCCAGCAACCCACAGAACACCAATAAAGTAAAATTTGTTATTATAAGCTGTCAACACTTCCCTCCAACTGTTACTAAAAATCTGATCACAAGTTGCCAATAGATGATTAACAGTAATATAGCCAAATACTATAAAGTACCAAACAGACCAAGAGGGGGGGGAAAAAAAAAAAAGTAAAAAGCATGTGCAACTGGCAATACCATGTCAAGCAGCTGTCCGCAGAGAAAAAGTAGGTGGTGCATAAGTAACCTTTCAGATACCTAAGAGGCACAAGAACATTTTGGCTTTTTCTTGAGTGTGCTAAGACTTCCAAACACACAGAATCTGCTATTCAAATACTGTTCACAGTAATTACTCTGCTGTTAAAAGACGTCTCAAAACTGGCATTAATGATGAATGCAATGGTATCTCCAATGAAACTAGCAGAGCAAGACTTAATTACAGTGAAGAGAAAAAAGTGTAAGAATGAAGGAGGAAGACCAATGGCAAAAATTTAAGAAATTAAAATTTAGAGATGTCAGGGAAACACTGAAGACAATCATAAATATGATTGTTTTATTTAATTTGCTAAATTACTTTCATAGCCTTTGGTTGAAAAGAAAGAATAGTACCACTTCATATAAACACCAAAAAAACCTCACAAAACAAGTGAATATACAGAAGACACTAAAGGGAAATGGAAAAAAACAACAAAAATTTTGAATGCAGCCTGCCTACCAGCGCAGGTAGAAACAAATTCTTCAGTAAGAAAATGTAACATCAGAAAAAGATCATAGTCTGAAGTATAGATTTAGCATCAAGTTTTACTTAACTCACTGGCCTGTAATACACTAACATGTTTTAGGTCACAGACAATGCAGCATCTAAATCTTCCATGCCTGGAAACAACTGTCTAGGGATTCATTTGCAAAAATGCCATCTGTACAACACTATTAGACATAACTTTCAAAGTTATGTCTAATAAGTACATTTTTATGAAAAAAATATACCTATTACATTTCAATCACTGAAGAAAACACACAACAGGTTTCCACTAGCTGATACAAAAAAAAAAATTAAGCAATTTTGTTTTAAATTCTAGCCCAGATTTCTTAAAAGACATACCAAATATTTATTTCCTATTAACAAGAAATGGGTAAGAAATCAGTATGTGATTTGTGACCAAAATGAATGGTACCCAAGCACGTATTAAACAGATAACGTAATTTTTTACTTGATAGAAAACATCCCTTAGAATCCAGTGAACTATCCCAAATGTCATGAAAATAGTGACTGCCACTTCAGTATCCTTTGGAATGTTTTAAAAAGCATTTGAAACATGACCTCACATCTTAAAGATCCTTATTTGCTATCTAGATTTAGAAATGGATTAGTCCACTAAAAATGAAAGACCAGCAGTTGGCATGCAGCAAATATGCAGTTAGAACTGCAGGCATCATTTCTGCAGAGGACAAAAAGAAAAGATCAATGTGCACAGAACTAGCTTCTTAAATTGCTTAAGATGTCTAAAAACAATGAAAATCATAATAAATCAGGTGAAAGCAATAGAATTTTACGACCATGCCATCTGATGATACATCCATGACAAAAATTCCTTGGTATAAAAGACAAGGTTTGATGATCTTAATTTGTTTTCACTGTTGCTTAACCACAAAACTTATAAACAAAAGGTCAACTACTCTATTAATCCTAGGATATGAAGGGAACACCAAATTAAGAAGATAGTGTGATCTCTACCTGCCAACAAAAAAAGACATAGATTACACAGGCCGGGTGCCACACGTATGTCTAGGGATCCACTTTGCAAAATTTCCATATACACAAACTCAGCAACTCACCCAGCTCACAAGTGGCATTTATTGCTCAAAACCTTCCCCTACTGACCCCAAACCATACCCAAAATAGAAGTGGCTTTCTCGGAAGAACAACTAGAATTTAGGACAGAAATCCTATGTAAAACAAAAAATCTCACATACGGTTACTCATCCCCTTGATCTTGACACACTGCACCAATGCTGAATTCAACTCAGCTTTAGGAGAAGGATGTTCTGTTTACACCAACTGAAGCGATACCTACTTATCTCATATATTAAAGACTATAATGATTACTGGAGAAGTCAAAAGCCACATATATATGCAACAGGAAGAAGAATATAAAGCACAGTTAAATTCACTACGGCCTTGTTAAAAATTGTCTGGGACAGCAACAAAGGCCTCTTGCAAAGTAGTCAAGTATAATAAATAGGTAATCAATCACTTTGCTGGCAATACAGGCAGCAAAAGTATTAACACACACTTTGTCTGCTTTGATCAACGTACAGAACACTGAAGTATGGAAAACAGTTTCTACTTAGGTGATCTTGTAGGGTAATCCGAAATCTCTTTGACTTATTTCAGAGTATCTAGAATATAGATTCGTGGTTACAGAAGAGTTTCTCACCTGCCAGTAACGAACTGTAATAGTAATACTCTCTCCTCCTGAGTTAGTTCTTCCACGACATCCCAGAACCACTAAAGGAAAGATAAGTTAGTTTGTATTTTCCATTAAATACTTGTAGTACTTGAAAAGAAAACAGTGAAACAATAAATGGAATATTTGTGTGTTTATTACTTAAATAACGGAAATTCATATATAGGTAACTTACTGTAGGAATATAGTATAAAATCCCAGAAATTTCAGCCAAAATAAGCCTCCATAAACACATACACAAATGATAACAACAACAAAAGCACCTTTTTTGATTAAAATGCAATCATTAACATTATTTAAAAAATAAATTTACCTGAATAACTTGGTCTCCTCTCTCATAGCCACTGGTGTATTCCGTATTTTTTAACCAATCGTTCACGTCAATTTCTGGCATACCAGATAACAAAAGCTCCTTCGGAAAAAGCAGATTTTGATCAGTCTTCCCAACTAGACACTCATTTCAATTGTATATGTTATTTTAAAAAGTAATGCTTTAGGAACTATAAAAATTGCACAGCTTTTTCTGTTTAGTTGCAAACTTACAGAACCTACAACTAAATTTTAATACAAGAATATTCTTGAATTCATGTAACTTCACGTGATCTGTTTAATTTAAGCATACAGTACTAAGAGAGAGAAAGCGTTGCCAAAGAAACTTAAAGAAGAAACTTCTGAGTTTTTGCATGACTTAAAACGAAACAGAAGATCAAATCACCAGAAAAACTTATTGGAATCTGATTCTGTGACAATTCTTAAAGAAACAGACAACATCTCCTTACTTTTAAAGGACTTCAAAGAAAATAAGAAAAGGCTTAAAGGCCACAACATCCTGATTCTATTTTGAAATTACAATTTAAGGCATTTATCAGTGGCACATAAAATCATCACATTCCAAGAAGATGGTCATTCTAAGAAATTAGGGTAAGCAGGAATACACACACTGAGATCCTTACAGATACGTGCTGGGGAAGCAAAACCAAAGTGAAAGATACAAAATATTTATTTTGTGAGCTCTGCTTCTATATAATTACACTGCTGCTGAAGCACACTGAACAAAGCATTTTTAAGAAGTACAGGCATTTCAGCTTACCAGTTCGTATTCATCAAAAAGCTGGATCAAAGATGGTGGAATGAACATATGGAAGCCTTGTAAAAAGGCATTTATCTGAGGCTGAATGGCTCTTGTCATTCTAAGCTCGGTGACAAGCTGGACATACTCAGCCTGCAATGTACGAAATGACATTAAGATGTACAACACAGCAAGAAGACAGTGCCTGTGCAAACTCACCCACACACAAATGTAGTCCTCAATACATTACAAATGTCCCTTACTGTAAGATGTTACGACTGCCTGTGCACTTGTCATACACACAAGCCACCAAAAATAATTCCCTTGTACTTCAGAGCCCCCTATGTTCTTCCCATTTCCTACTTTCCAAAGACAACTCCCAAACAGAAGTGTTTAAATGCTAACACAAACCAGTCAAAAAACAAGGACTTGGACTAAGATAAAAGGAATTAATAAAACTTAGTTTGTCATGTCTGTATTTAATACAACAACTGCTACTGTGACCATCTAAGGACATAAACAAAGCAATGTTTGTAAAGAAAAATATTCTATTAAGCAAATTGACATAACTCAGGAAAAAAGGTAAGTTCTGAAGGAGTAATCTGTGAGCCAAAATGCTTTCTTGCTTTACCTCTATTCTCTGGAAGTCTAACAGAACATGTTACAAGCTTTGTTTTCTTAATAACGATTTCCATTTTTTTAAGAAAGTCTTGAAAATCTCCCCTTGAAAATCTTCCTTTAAAAAAAAAAACAAAAAACCACAACAAAAAGAAACCAGAAAAGCATTTATACCATAATCATGTGAATAGATAATACCACAGTTTGCATGCTTTAGAGATTAGGATCTCTTTCTCCTTTAAAAGATGCCAGAAAAGGAATCCACCAGAACTTTGCTTTTGTTGAAAACATAAAAGGCTAGGAGGTGGTTAATGGAGGAAGGTTGTTAGACTGAGACAGACAAAAGTGCCTACACTAAAGCTGTATAAACATGTCTCCCTGAAAAAACTATACAAGTCAAAGTTTCTTTACTCGAGAAAAGAGATTTCTACTTGAAAACAAAATTTGTTCCTAGATTATTAAAGGTACTCAGTTTCAAGTAACACTTTGACTTCTTAGTGATGATTTTTATAATGAAATCATGAAACATACCTCTCAATTAAATCACCTTAACTACCACCTTCCTTCAAGACAATAATCTTACAAAAATACTACCTTGATTTTTAATTTTAAAAAACAATCCAAACTTTTAGATTCTGAATCTGCATAAAAGCAACCCAGCATTCTTTCTTTAATCCCTTTCAGAAAAACAGAATGAAGTATGAAACATTTTGAGGCAGAAGAATATTTTTCAAAGGCAGTTCCTTACATTCACAGAAGCATAGAGGGGATGTTATTTGCTTTGCAGTTGGAAGACGTTTTTACCACCATTTCATTAGAGTGAGAAAATACTTAGGTTGTGAAGTGCTTTGAAGAAGAGGAACATTACCTAATCGTATCTTCAACTGCAGAGCTGTTGCCAAAAATCTAGTCATCTCCCTCGGTTGCTCCTACCATCAGGAGGACCAAATACTCTCTAAGGAATTACAGGAGTAGTCAAAGGAAATTAACTGCCTTAGATAAAATTCAACCTCTGAATACATCTGAAGAGCTCCAGGAAGAAACTTGAGCAATATCAGGTTTAGAAGCAGTGTTGACACTGGTCTTCAAAGATCTGAAATACTTGTTTTACATTTCTTAAATTGCCGTGACATAAATCAGGCTATACAGGAAACAAGACTGGAGAAAGAAAAATTCACAATCTTCTTTTTAAAAAATCCGTTAGTCAGTACATGACAAACACTTTCTACGTTACAAAAATATTTACATTGAATGCTTTCATCATGAGAGAAAACAGTTGCTGTGCTTTAGGTGTAAAAAGAAATGTTTTAAATAGCCTGGAACAGCCGAGCATCCTGACTATCAGCACTAAGGCACGCTGAAAGACCTGTACTGCTGAATTTACATAATACATGTCAGTAAAAAAAAAAACTGGTCAATATGGTTTTCTCTCTGTTCACTTCATTTACATTTTATTTCCTCTCAGAAGCCTTAGAAGCACATTACAAAACAGAAATATCTACATAATTTCAGAGCTACATATGCACTCCAACCCAGTGCATAAAAGGGATAACCCAGCCTTCTTTCAAGAGGGGAGATTTGATTGAACACACAAGACAGGCAACACAAATATGATGACAAAGTCCAGTTAGGGTGAGGGGCTGTTCTGTATTTTCCTTTGAGGTAAATCAAGCAGAGATCATGCTTCCCCGATTTCACAACCCCATAAGCTGTGAGACAAGGATCAATGTTCATTACAATGTTCAGATTCAGAGAGCAGCTCTATTCCAAAGCTGTTTGGGAAAAAAAATGCAAAATTTTTTACTGCCAAACAGCACAGTCAGCTCACAGACAGACAAGTCCTGGGAAGACAGAGAAAAACAGGTGATTGTGGACATTTGCACCAGTTTTTAAAATAGCACATGGCCAAATTTTGCCTAAAAATTAAGTAGAAAGCTGCAAAAAATACACACAGGAAAGAACAAAGAGAAATGTATAGCAGGGACACAGGACAAAGCCTGACTTTTCTCTTCGAAGTCTCCCTATTTCCAAGACAAAAGGCAGCTGAACTACTGCTACAGCTGAAGCTGAAACTTCAGTTTGTGCTCCTCCGACCCTCCCCTCGAATTGGAAGAGTGGAATATTTGCGTGGTCGCATGGTCCCACAACTACTCACCTATTACACAGCTGATGTAAAAAAAGAAAATTCCCTCCTTCGAAGAAAACAATTTTTTAGAAACAGCTATTACTACTGCTCCCCAAGGTGGCATTTGCTCTCTTATTTTGGTTTTCAGTAAGAGGGAGATGGATTATTTGGGTAGTTTCTGTGGGGAGTTTTTTTTGGTTTTGACATAGTGATTTTAGGGGGGAGTTGTTGAGCTGTTTGCTAGTTTTTTAAGGAACATTCACTCCTAAATTCATTTTTTTTAAATGCTACCCTCTGAACAGGTAATCAGCTAGTGCGCATACACTGCAAATTTCTTTAGATGTTGAATTTTCTTCTAGAGGTATACAATGAGTTTTAAACAGCAATTTTTTATTCCTCATGTCAAGGCAGAAAAATAAAGATAGATACCTCTTGCAGTTTAAAAAAATAAAAAAAGACATTTTATAAAGTAAAGTAGACACTTGCCCATTTAACCTGTTAGAACAGTTAAACTAAAACATATTGGCTAAGCTAAAACATACTGCAAAAACCATGTCACGTTAAAGAAACTGCAAAAAATCCCTAGACACCACTAAACCACAATTTTCAACAACTTGGTTCGCTACTGTCACAATCAGTGAACAGGAGTGCCATCTTACAGATGTATATTGACTTCACATTTTGCAACTGCAAATTCAAAAATGAATATTAAGTTTTAAAGCTACCACAACAGTCATCTGTTCTTACAGCCTTTCAAATAAAAGCTACACGGACTCTCATCCCCTCTTGCCACGGTGGAGGAAGGCTGGCGCACCTGTTCTACATGTGTCCAACTCTTTTTAGTCCATGCCCCAAGTCAGAACTTAACAGAGAAATTTAAGTTACTACTGACCGAAGGAATCCTCGTGTGAGCAAACTTGTAATTTCATGTTAACTGATAACAGCTTTTAAATAGTTGTTATGAAACCACAATTTATGTTGAGCACCTCTGTTTTATATACTGAGAAGCTACGACTGCCCAGAAACAAGAACAACATCCTCGCTTTCTCTGATATGTAATAAAGAAATTAATCATTCTCTGCCTTCACAATTAGACTTGTTTTGTCATCTACATTTTTTCATGAAAATTGCAGGACACAGTGCAGAATCAGGCTCATAATATGTATTCCTGTTATTGGAATGGCACTCTGCCTCAGTGAAAATGAGGATTATTGCTCTACAAGCACGCAGTGCCAGTTGCCCCAACGTGGACTAAAATTTTTATTAGAACAAATGCTGACACCAAGTGGCCATTTACCATTACAGCAACTGTCTACACGGCTGGCAGAGCCAAGGGGATACTGTGCACACAGAGCAAGCCAAGCTAGCTCAATAAAAACAAAAATCAAAAGGCAAAGCAGACGTAAGGATCAAGAGAGCCAATACTACAAAAAACTGCAGCTCAACCCATGACGCTCTTGCAGTAACTCTAAACTAGCTAGTGCATAATGGCAGAATTCAATTAGACTGATATCAAGCTTAATTTCTAGATGATTTTCAGAATCTGGCTGCATTTTTCCTTCTCTGTTTGTGGACTAATGCTGCAGAGGACTCAAGGACCTTCCACGCTGTTACTGTTAAAGTGAATTAAAAAGGCAGATTATTTCTGTACAGACCAAGTGACTTGCAAATGGCTGAATAAGCCACCTGCAGCCATTTACTCTGTCCATTTTCCACACCTTACTGCAGAGCAATCCAGTGCCACAGACTGCCCCAGCAGGCAGCACACTTTGCAACATTACTTACAATTTTATTTTAACAAATGTTACTGTTCTACCTTCCTGTTACATATACCCCTGACTTAACTACAGGAATATTTATATTTTTTTAAATAAATTGTTCATTTAAAGTTGATCCTATTTTCCCTCCAAAACTTCTGCCAGAAAGAACTTCAAACCCGAACCCTTACAGAGACTTTAAATGCTGCTATTTCTGTAACATGCTAAGCTAGCAAAAGAGGAAGAGTGTTAGCAACCTTTTTGTGTATTTCCTTCAAAACCGCTATATACCATTTATGCTTCCAGTTATTCAGACAACCACTCGAGTTGCTTTTCTTCTACTACCAACTTCTGAATACACCTGCACACTCACCTTGTTTTCCTGTGTAACAAGTATACTTGCACCCCCTGGCTTCAATGGCACTTCTTCCATTGCTCCAAACACATCAGTCTCAACAGAGAAGGTCAGCTCTAAACCCAGATCACTGATATCATTATCTAAAATCCACTGCAAGTTCTTTGCATACTCTGGATCAATAGATGCTACATCCTGATAATTTACAGGTATGCCTAGAAAAAAACAAAGAGACAAAACCCCTTAAATAAATAGGATAAAGCAAAAACTGTTTTACCTTAACATATGGTAGAAGATTGCCCTCTAGAGAGAAACTAGAATAATGCAGTAATAGGAAAAGGGATTCACCATTACTAACTTCAGAAGAACTGTACTTATTACATTTTAAAAGTACTAAAGAGTAAAGTTTCTTCTGTATGTATTTCTTTCCAGTGAAGTAAGTGACATATCAGCTAAGCAACAACAGTTTGCACAATTTTAGCTCACTAATGGATTTCAGTAAAAGCATCTAACCATACAGAATTGTAGACTACAGTTAAATCAGTTTCTTTTAACAGTCTTAAAGTTTTCTGTGTAGCTTTTAGAAACCCAAATATCATATTTCTCTATACAATAATATCTTTTCCTCCATTAAATTATTCAGAATTTGGAGGGAGACGGGTGAAGACAACCTTTCTGTACTTTGAAAACTCTTTTCACTCTTCAGCTTTAACCTTTTAAATCATGTTTGCTATGAGACCTACTAGACAGTTGAAAAGTTTATTAATAGGAATTTTACATTTTCAGACTGAACTCACAAGTTATTTAGAAGCATTAAGAGGAGAGCTGCTAGAAGTCTGACTTCTGAAAATAGAGAAGTCGCCTATTTACAGCCCCTTCACAGACATGGCTCTCAAACAAACTTGGAGCTAACGTGTCCAGAACAAGGCGACTCTGAGTTTGCACAAGAGAGCTACCTTCTTCGCTATACAAGAACATAAATCCCTATTACTTTAACTCTATTAAAATAGATACTTTAATTCTATGAGACAGAGAAGTACCTGTGAAAAGTAGCAGGGGGTGAGGGTGGTAGTAGGTTTAGAGAAAAGCAAGTTATAGGGCAGTACTCTGTCTCACCATCTCCTGTGCACTGCGAGGTGCCACAAGGGTGCCCATTAGCAGCTGCCTTCACACACAGACTGCAGGAGCAGCACCCCAGAGAGGAACACAAAAGTCAAAGGTTAGCAGCCAGTGCAAACACACATGTGCAAAAAATGTTACAGCACTTCCCTGGAAGGGCCGACTGGTGCTGTAAGACTGTGTACACAAGCTGTAAGGCATTGTTTTTCCTAATAAAAATCAAGCAACGCGCCAGTTAGAGAGAAATATAACTTACTAATGAATTTTCACAGTCACCTCTCTAACAAAAAACAATGAATCATCCAATGGTTGTCTACAAGTTTCTAGAGGACTTCCACTTTTGCCAGCTAGAATCATATGTATGATTCCATGGCTACTAGCATATGAGATTGTATCACACTAGTAAGCATACGTACATTTCACATACGAAATGTAGAAATAATGATGTCTCTGAGTGATATTTGCAAAATGTGGGAAGAGACTAAAACGTAGGGATCAGACTCCTTTAGAGAAGTAACTGAAGCATTATGATGACACTAGACTCGCAGTCAGCACACTGTGAGACCAAAGCACTAAAGCTCACTCATTCGCTGACAGATATTTTACAAATCAATGGACTCAAGCCAGGCAGTTATAAAGAAACTCTGACAGATATATCAGGACAAAATTTGAATCCCATTAAATACTATGTATCGCTCTCATGCTATACCCTTAAGGCACCTGCAGTCTGAAAAAGAAATCTATCTTAGCATAATTATGATAAACAGGTGTTTCTGTGCAACACAGAACTTCAAAAGGTACTGAACTTGTCTCAGAGAGCTTACCTGTAGTGCACATTCAAGGATTTAAGGCCTCCGGCTCATAATATACTGACCCAGAAATTTATTTTCTTTTGTTTATGCCTTTTCAAGGAGCATTTTCTATTATACTGTGAAAGAGGGGACTTAAGTCTAACAGCAGACAGCAGTTAGGAATTTATCTGCTATGTGTCTTTGTGTGTTGGGAGGTGGAAGTTTCCCTTTCCAAACAGAAAGTAATTGGTTCCTTGAAAAAAATACAAAAGTAACCACACAACAGCACTAGAAACACCATCTTCACCTCATCTTTAAGAGAAGGCAGATAGACAGGAAGCCTGAGAGAAACAAACCTAAGAGCCTTTCTTAATTTATGATCATATACCTGCCTTAGTTCTACATCCATAGTAAAATGCAGCTCCAATAAACATTACGACTTACGGAATAACGTTTGATTTCACAGAACACACACACACAGACACAAAAAATCATGCAAGCTACAATGAGGCAGAGTCTAGTTGGAGGCCTCTGTCTAGT